GGAGTAGTTGACCGAACGTGAGCTAGGAACCGGCTCCCATAAATTAACTATGACAGACATCGTATAGCATCCGTTTGATTTTCGCACGTAAACCATTTGGTTCAATGTTTCTTCCCTAGGTTATTCCCTTCCTTATGCCGTTTCGTGGCTAAAGTCCCATGTCAAACGACAAACAATTAGAAAACTATTGCACAATTCAGGCGTGCACGTCGAAGAAGTCAAGTATATCGACAGAGCCAGTTTGCACAACAGGATGAGATAGAAGTAAGTGTTACATTCCCACGAGAAAGGCCAGTGTTTGCATTTATACGCCTCACCAGAGCGAATAAAAATGAGACCTGGGGCTAACACTTCTAATGATATACGTGATATATTTCAATCTTTATAAGTAATGAAATGTTTTTGAAAGTACGGATCCGTATTTTTGATTTGATACCATTTAATAAATGCTTAACCATAAAGTTTATTCTGGTGGCACCACGCAAAGAAAACCGATGGTTTTGCCACAGGTCACAGATGCAGACCAAACAACCGAACTTCTCAACTCCGGCAACAAAGCGAGGCAGGTTTGTTTTGACCCATCAAGTGCATCGCCAGCACACCTTATCTTTAATTTTCATCATTTACAGCAACCTTCTGGTTTGTATGCCTGACATACTATCCCTACCTGCACACCAGGCTCCAGTCGTTAATCATTGCTGGCTTGTCGCTCCAAGGTCCTTCATCGTTCTACATTTTCGTAATTTTCTGTTGCAAGTGAAATGACACTGTTTGGACGACAACAAGTTAAGTGTAATAGCATTTATACTTCCTTTATGGAACTCAAATTTGGCTGCACGGTATGCGAAAATGAAGCAGAAGCAGTAAACCAGGATTACTGCAGATCTGTCAAACAATAGATTTGTAGAGTTAGGAGGTTGACTGCACATAAGTTGAAAGTGATGATCAACAAGTCTCAGTGGACGGGATATGTGGCCTGACACTGAATTTTGAAAATATCAAAGGGGCCACGTGAAAAGATGAGACAGAAAATGATAGGAGAGTCCTTGTGAAAAAGTTGCAGACGCCTCATGATACCGCTGATCTTAAACAGTCTGCTCTAGCTGATGATTTAGCATTAGCACTCTTTTAGGTACAGTGTGCTCGCCTTTACACTTTTGTCCCACAGTATTTCTGGTCCGCTGATACCAGAGAAACATGAGGCTAAAAGGCCATGTTGAAATTGTGTTGCATTGTGCTCACTGAAGAACGAGTTAAAATGAGTATGAAGAAAACTGACCTCGTAGTTAAATTCCTATATGAGCAGACAAATACGATATATAAAGAAACGCAACGTGTGTTGGTAAAATATATGGCATCAAGAGTGCCTCAGGTTTTCACATGTCCTGTTCGTAGCCGAAGAAGCAATGTGTCACACACACCATATAATAGCCCGACTCACAGCACTGCTGATACGCTACATGTATGATCTTAGTACAGAACTCATGGCACCATCAACGAAGCTATTAAACCAAAAGCACCCGCGAACCACAAAGAAAAACCGTTTCGGTGACGAGAACCAAATTCATCTCTAGTCACATTGAAAACCTACCCCAAGAATTGCCTTACAACCACAGGGGGGAAAAAATTAGCGTCTAAATGCTTCAAAAAGTTGAAAATTAGTACAAGCTGAAGACCTCAACGAAGCATTTCTCATCGAAGCCCATTAATAAACTACCGGTGCGGTTCGCTATGCGGAAGCCCATTTATCAAGGAACGTAGAAAAAGCCAGTCTTCCCTTGAAAGTGCTGGGTCCCGCTTCGGGCACTGTTACCCATGGGCCCCCAACTCTCAACTTTCCACTTCATAATTCTTCCTTACGGCCTAAATGTAACGGAGCTATTGTACCTGTATCAACTTCCACACCTGTTGTGTAACGAAATGGCTTTTACCCAATATTTTCCCCCAGTAACATTCAAACAACTGCATACTCCGGGAGATTATGCACAGCACGATGATTTTTCCCCCGAAAACTTTCTCAGCTTAACTGAGAAACATAACGCCCAGATATTACCTGTAAACGTGGCATGTGTTCTCATAAGTCACCAAGCGAAATATGTCGTTATAACTATCAATGTTAATAAATGGCTTCCTTCAGCAGGTCTCTTGTAAAATCTTCTTTCCTATCGGTGACACACCTACGGACGGGACTTGGAAGTCAACCTCGTAGGGTTTTCGTAAAGGAAGATTTAACCCTGATTTAAAAGGCAGTACACGCTGATAGGTCTGAATTTTACCTTTAAAAATGCAAGGTGGTATGTATAGAACATGAAAAATAACTTGCATTCATTTTCGGCGGCTGGGACTAAACTGGTGGCTACCCCTGAAGTTCTTCCAGAAAGTTAGGGTCACCTTATAGACAAAGATTTACCGCCTGTGTACAGCTTTCTAGTTCAGTTTTGTAAGCGCTCCGCGTAATCCTCAAAGTGCCTTAAACTCCGAGCTGCTACCAATACACAGTGGACGTGGTTTTTGAGTCGTAACCTATTCTCTGACACGCCTCTACCAGCTGTGGTATCACCCTTGTTCTTTCCATCTTTCAGGCTATACTAATGTGAAGTGTGGCGAAGTTCTTTGTTTATTCATTCTATCCCTCATGACTTGAAGTGACCACAAGGTCACCGGGGCTCGGTACCAAAGGTAGAGGAGGCCTAATGGTATAGGGGTGTTGATATCTGAGTGCTTTGTGCGCGTGTTCACAAATCTACTTGAGTTAATTGACATCAACCATTTCTCTGACACGGTAAACAAGCTGTTTAGGTCCGTCTGAAGTACAGCTGCACATTCGTTACCCTCACAGTCATGTCAGATTTTTAGGCCATCAACGCCGAGAACCACAAACGATTTCATAATATTCGGCGACTTCTTCATGTATGGGAGAAACAGCAGGGGCCCCAAGATTCTGTCTTGTGATACTCAACTTTCTACCGAGAGTTGAGGATCGATCCCTATTGTTTGACTTCGACCAGCAAGAAGCCCTGCGATCGATGCAAGCACTGTCAGTGATTCCGAAACTTTCTGGTTTCCTGGGAGACCTAGGATGAGGTGCCGCATCGAATGCCTCACCAAATTACACAAAAATGACATCTACAGGTGTTCTATCATCCATATGATTAACCCAACTTTTTCTGACCGCGAGAAGGTTCGTTAAGCACGTGAAACTTCTGCGAAAACCATGCTGCAAAGAGGACAACGGGGTGTTGCTGTCTAAGTGAGTCGTAATGACCATCTTGATTGCCCTTGCTAGGATTTTTGTCGCCCAGTACTGGTCAAACTTATTGGTCTGCGGTTCGGTAGGTGCTGCCCATAACCCACCATGTAGAAAGGTGTGACTAGGGCACCCTTCCAATGGTAGGAGAGTTCGCCTTCACTGAGGGACAGTCTAAATACAATACCTATGGTCTGCTATACACAGCACATGCCATCTTAGCAGCCTCGAGTGGAGTTCATCCGGTCCAGTTGATTTTTCAGTATTCAGAGTACCTAATTCCTTGGATACACCGCTGAAGTCGTTGTTCACCGAGTTCATCCTGTTAAACATCAATGCTTCTGCTGTTGACTAAGTGCCCACATTTTCACTTTTCAACCCTAGCTGTAACACCGATCTTAGAGGATGTCCCATCGAGCCCCGACATAACTCTGACCTGCGCAAAGTTCCCGAAGTACTATCCTTCCTCTTATCGTCCCAAACACCGCTGATCCACTTGTGTTGGGCGGTGAGAAGGAAGAAGGTAGTGAGAAGTTTAGACTCAGGTACTGGATTGGCAACAGATTAACGGATACGAGCCGAATATGAGGAAGACAAAATGTTCTTCTTGAAGAAGACTAAACAAGCGTTAAATTATAAATTCGGTGTCAAACACGTCAACAAAAGTAATTTGGAATACATCCTGGTCGGCGAAATGGATGGTATCTGTCAAAGCTGGTAAATGGGGGTGCACACGTGGCAACACCTACGATATTGATGGTATTCCTGTACCATCGTTAGTGACGTACAACGATCCAGGATGTACAGACAGTCATGATTTGAAAGCCACGTCACGCTGTCGACTGGTAGTAGCTTGGGGTTTTAGGACACTTTGGGCATTACGCAGAACGTTTACAAAAATAGGTGGTGATATGTTCACCATCTTATACACATCCCTACTTAAGTCCAAATTAGAAAACTGTGTATAGGCTGCAAGTCCTTATCTGAAGGGTGACTCATACCTTCTGGAAAGCGTTCATCGGGCAGCCACTCGTCTGATTCCTGGGATGGCCGGGCACACCTTTGAAGGTCCACTCGGGAAGCTGAACCTGTTCTCTTTATTCTGTCACAAACAGAGTGGAGGTCTAATCACGCCATGCAGACGTGGTCTATCTTCTTTATTCCTTCCCACTAGTTCGGAAAAGCTCAGAGGACACAGTAGGAAATTACAAAAGTAAAAAACGAACATAGTCTTTGCACGGCACTGGTTCTCGCGTCGAGTAATCAACTCCTGGGACCGACTTCCAGAAGAGGTGGTGTCTGCATCAACTGACCTGTTCTGAAGAGGGTGAAAAAGCACAGAATTTGATGGAGGGGGATTAATATTGGTTCACATCCTTCTATCCTCAAGCAAAATATCTGCAATCTAAATCTGAATCCTGCAACACAAGGAAGTTAGGCTTCAGTTATAAAAGACTGTATATCATACGCAACATCCCAGTAAGTCACTCTGTCCTAGAATGCCCCCTCAGAAGACATTCTTTAAATTCACTCGTCAGAATATTTTGGTCATAGAAATGAAAACTGTTTCCTATGTAGGCGTGCATCGACTGACAATTAATTTACTCCTCTTAATTAATTGTAATCCTTTCAGCTCTATTTGTCTGATAGACAGGAAGAACATAGATGAATTTGTGACCCACTGCTTCTAGCCAGGTAGTCATATGGAAACTTTTATTCTGTCGATAACAATTCCAAACCACTTGTGTTTGAAAGAATACCCTTTTCTCGCGGTATTAATTGGCGGTAGTTTTCGTTGACTCTGTCTTCCACACTTCGGATGGCTGGTCAATATGCTGGGTTCCGAGTTGAAATAACCTCGTCCGAACTTGGGAAAATTGTTGGCGTTGTCTCCAGCGTTAGTGACAAAAAAATCAGCCTCACTAATGCTGTTATTAATGACTATGCACCTACGATCCCGTCATTCTCGGTTGAGTAAGTCTCACGTTTTGTTTCGTATCCATATTTCTACCTAAATTAACCGGTCACCAGTTTTACTACGCAGAAGTTCGTGATGGGCCTAGAGTTTTCCGTGCTCACGAAGAGTTTTGATATCATCTGAAGAAGTGCTGTGAACAAAGTTTTCCGAACGTAATTTCCTGTTGGTGTGTCGAGTGACTAACACAAAGATTTTATGGTCTTTAGTCTCATACATAACCCTTCCTGGATACTGTCTTCATGTGTGCTTCCTCGCTGTTCTGGAAAATAGTGGAGACTAGGAAAATGTTTGCCTTAGTTTATTTTAGTGAATATAATAGACTATCAACCTCTACTGAGGAGTGGTTCTAGCTGCTTGTACAAATAAAACGTGTACGTAAATTGCAACTTGCTTATGCATTTTCAACACTATAAGGGGAATATTAACTTTTATATTAATCCAACCATTAATTTAGCGTTTAGGTAACGCGTGACTTAAAGGAAGACTGAAGATATCATGCTAAATGTTGTTATGGCTTACACTTCTGGCTGCACATCTCTTGGTGTTCTACTAATTTTGGATCGGATTCCTAACGTCGTTGGCATACAGACTACATAGATATATCGCAATACCCAAGAATTCATTGTCCATTATTTCTCATTGTGTCATTAGTGTCCAGGTGGTTACTTGTACCATGTCGGTCATTACTTTAGGTACTAGTCATAACTCTGATTGATTCGTTTGCCTTTCGGTGTAAGTGGGTATGCAATTACTTGTAGTGTAGCCAGAATAACCACAAAGAATTTGTAATCAGTCTGTCTCCACTTAGCTACATTAAACTTTAGGATTGTTACACTATCCCACTTTATTGTGCAGTTATTAGTCAAGACGTGCACATCAATAACCAAATTTCCTCTTAAATAACTTATTCTAGTAAAGTCTATCAATATATTTCATTAAGCTTTTATGCTCAGCTATCTGCAGTACCCCCTGTCAGTTACTTTGACTGGTTCACTTGGCTTCAGTCCTCATATGATACTTGGTAGATTACATGGGTCATGGGAGTATGCTGTTTGTGAGACACGTATACAGGACACGGTCAATCTGGTGAATCCGTGAAATTCACCCTTCTAGTTTCTGGAGATTCGATAGCTAGTTCTCGCGGTCTTTCGGGTGTAGGCACAGCACTAAGCACTAGGGCAGAAAACTCACTACTAGACTGGATCCCAGTTGATAGTCACCTCTGCGCTATCCGACTGAATGGCACAGTGAGAAATAAAAAGAATAGTGAGACTCGCCGTTGTCTCTTTGTAATCTCTGCTCGTGCACCCACTGACTGTAGTTCGGATCAAATGAAGAACGAGTTCTACCATAAACTCTCTTTCTTGAAAGTCAGACAAAGAAAGACACTCTGACGTGGTGTCCATCAAGCTCAACTCAGCGGTGGACACAGACCACATTGCTACCAGTCAGTTGCTAGAGGCAATCGATGGAAGACCGCCGCTCTTTCTGGAGTACGTATTTGGAAAGCGACCACGCGTTGGTTCGAGTGCGTATATGCCTGCATCTCAATGGACGTAGGAAAAATTTGGCAACAAAACCACTACGAGTGCTGCTGAACAACGAAAATAACAAAGCCGTGTTCAGTGAGAAGTTGGCTAGGCAGTTATCAGAACAGAAGACTACCACTCATCCAGAAGAAGCTTGGTGCTATCTCCAGTCTGACGTAAAAGCAGCACTGAAGACCGTAGCCAACTCCAAAACAGTAGCTAAAAAGAGCCAGTGGATATCAGCAGCTTCTTCTGAACTAATGGATGCACGTTAACGCATCCCTGAAGCTCTGAGTACGATGAAGAGCGAGCGCAACTAAAAAGTAGATTGATAAAAAGTCTACGCAACTATCGCGAATAGTGGTGGGCAGCGAAGACTGAAGAGATGGAAAAGGCAGTGGCGATTGGTAAAGGTAGACAGTTATTTAGACTTACTAAGGAAACTAGGAGGAAAAGGCCAACTGCGGTTAGTGAGGCTATAGCGGAGAAGGACGGATCTGCGATTCACTCGCGTGGGTGACGACTCGAACGATGTGTAGAACACTTCGAAGAACAGTTTAACTGGCCTCCAGCCACTATTGCGTTGCCCGCTATCCAGTCGGATCCTGAATAGGACATTGAGATAGGCCACCCAACACTTGCAGAAGTCGAGAAAGCAGTAGGTAACCTGAAACGAGGAAGGGCAGCAGGACCAGACGGACTAACTCTAGAGGTATACAAAGATGGTGGTAAGGTGCTCTTAGTCAGGTTAACAGAAGTGTTAGCCAATATATGGGAATCAAATACGATCCCCTCTGACTGGTCTAAGTCACTGATTATTTCAGTCTTCAAGAAAGGCGGGGAGTCCTCTTGTGATAACCACAGAGGAATTAGCTTGACGAACAGTGTCCAAGATCCTAGGTTCTATAATTCTCCGACACCTGAGTGGAGCTCTGGAACAGCAAGCCCGAGAAAACTAGGCAGGATTTAGACCTGGCCGCGAGTGTATTGACCAAATATCCACACTGCCCCAGGTTCTGGGACACAGAAAAGCCTACCGACTCCCGAGAATAGCTGTATTTCTCGACCTGAAGGCGGTATTCGACTCCGTTGATCGAGAAGTCTTATGGCAATATCTCTCACTGAAAGGCGTGCCGAGTAAATACATCACCTTATTGAAGGCTCTCTACTCGAACACTTGTGGGCGTGTTAGAGCCTATGGTGAGATGTCGATGGAGCTATGCTCATCGAGTGGTGTCCGTCAAAGATGCCCGCTGTCTCCATTCTTATTCAATTTCATCATAGGCATTCTTATAGGGGTCTCCCTCTTGTCACCAGGTTATGCAGAAGTTGACCTAAACGCAGGAGAATTTTCGTTAGACCTAGAATATGCCGATGACATAGTCCTGTTAAGTGAAGACTCTGACATGATGCAGAGTCTTCTGAACACTTTGAGTGGGAATTTGAGAATGTTTGGGATGCGATTCTCACCACCCAAATGCAAATTGTTGCTCCAGGACTGGTCTTCAACGGTGCCACGACTGACAATAGAGAGTGTGGTGGTGGAGTGTGTTGACCACTTCACTTACCTGAGAAGTAGGATCAGCCCTGGTGGGTCAGTTGCTGATGAAATCTCTGCACGGAAACAAAAGGCTCGACTGGCTTTCGGCAACTTACGTCACCTGTGGCGCCGCCGTGATATCCGATTGTCTATTAAGGGTCGCGTGTACTGCACAGCAATCCGGTCTGTTCTACTGTATGACTGTGAAACATGGCCATTGAGGGTGGAAGACATGAGAAGGCTGGCTTCAGGTGTTTGACCACCTTTGCCTTTGTAGTATAGGTCGTATTCCGTGGTGTCACCACGTGAGTTATGAAGAAGTCAGGTATAGAGTTTTAGGGAGTAGAGGTAGATCAGTTGACGAGATTATGAACTTTCACCGATTGAGATAATTGGGACACGTACTACGTATGCCTAGTTACCGATTGCCTCGTCACACAATGCTGGCCGAAGTAGATCCAGGCTGGAAAAAAGGCTCGAGGTGGTCAGACTAAAGCATGACACCAATGTATGAAGTGTTTGACTGTTGGTTTGAGCCATGTGGAGTGATGCAGACTGGGTGGTGGGGGTCGGCGGGACAAGAGAAATCAGTGGTTGAAGACTGACTCTAGGTGATATGGCTGAGAACCGATGTCAGTGGCGCAGATGTATACAAACATTATCCTCATCTTAGCGACGCTACACCGAATCTCACCATTTTCTCATTCTTCCTTTCTATCCTTTCGAACTTTATATTTCTTTTGACTGGATTTTCTTATCTTCATCTTGCGCCTCACTGCCTTTCTACTTGATGTTGTGATATGAGGTGTGGCAACTCGGACCGCTACACAGTAATCCCTGGTCCTATGTTGATACTGATGATGATAATGGTAGATTGCGTTATTTCATCCAGGTGGATATACTGGATCTTTCCGTCTACAAGTTTCCCTCCAAGTGAGTTTGTGGGCTTAAATGTCACTCTAATTCTAGCATTCTTAAAAATCCTATGTCGACCTTCAAATATCCTTTATGTCAGCATTACAGTGCTTGAATTTCGTCTTATAATTATTACTAATATTATTGCTCTTACTCTTGAATCCTTGAAATTTTTTTAGAAACTGGAGCTCAGTTCTGAAGTAATGTCTGTTTACTACGTTCTAGTTCCCCAATTCGATTTTTCTGAATCATTAATCAAACTTCTAGCCGGATTACCTTAACGTTTTAAAAAACCTACCTTCACACATAAGTGGGATGATATGAAATCTAGATATCTATCCGTGTGACTGCTATCTAAACTCCCTTCTCTTTTCTTATGCAACCCCACTTGGGTAATTCTCTTTGATTTTCGAATTCATAAGTGAGTTAAGACGATAATACCATTAGGATGAAAGAAAGAAAAGCTGCTGGACTGTAAAAACGAATTTACTATAAAATATTAGTCTTAAGTATATTTATAATAAATTGATTCTCCACGCTGCACAAGTTTTTCATGGATATAACACAAAAATGAAATTTAAGAATTTTGGTCACTTTGATATGATTATCGGCAATAAATTTTGCTCAAAACGTCATCCATTAAATAGCGCTCACCCCTTGATAAATAAACGAATCTAATAAGGGGATGTATATATCAACGTAGAACCTAGGCCAAAAGCTCATCAGTCCAACTTACCACACTTCACAGCAGCATACAAAGAAAAACTGGGTTTAAAAAAATGACCTCAAAGTAGACATTGTTTGAGAGAAAAGAGCATAAATAAATGATTAATGTAAGTGTTCAAGACTTTAGTGACGGCAGATTGTGTACAGCTATGCCTTTATGAACTATCTCTAATCATATTATCGTATCCAACCACTGATTCCTATCACCAGCAAAACGCCAGCTATACATCGTACATATTCTTACATTGCTCAAACCAACAGCTACATACTACTTGAACTAGTAACG